TCTCAGAATGTAAGCCCTCAAAGACTCCAATGCATCCCACGTGCATTCTGGAAAAAGAAGAGGTAAGTAAAAAGGTAGAACAGAAGATTTACATAGGTATAATTGGATCTCTCCTTTATCTGACGACTTCAAGGCCTGATATTTTATTAAGTGTTTGCTTATGTGCTAGATTCCAATCAGATCCTAGAGAATCTCACTTAACAACAATTAAGCGAATTTTCAAGTATCTGAAAGGTACTACTAACCTGGGTTTGTTTTATAGAAAATCTAATGAATACAACTTAGTAGGATACTGTGATACTGACTTTGTTGGAGATAGAGTATAGCGTAAAAGCACTTCTGGAAGCTGCCAGTTTCTGGGAGACAATCTGATCTCATGGACCAGCAAGAGACAGTCCACAATAGTGTTGTCAACAGCAGAAGCTGAATACATAGAAGTTGTTGGATGTAGCACACAAATGCTCTGGATGAAAAATCAACTTGAAGACTTCAACATATTTGAGAGTAACATCCATATCTTTTGTGATAACACTTCTTCCATCTGTCTATCCAGAAATCCCATTTTGCATTCTAGGACTAAGCATATAGAAATAAAACATCATTTTATTAGGGATTATATTCAGAAGGGAATTCTCACTTTAAAATTTATTGACACAGACCATCAATGGGCTGATGTGTTTACAAAACCCCTTTCTGAAGATAGATTCAATTTCATTCCGAAACATCTCAGCATGAAATTGTGTCCAGAATAAAATGTTTTATTTGCATATTCTAACCCTCAGAATTTTATTGTTTTCTATGAACATCTGATCAACTTGTCTTCAGAAGTTAGGAGTACAGTTGCCTCAGAATCTATCTATGAAGATCTGAACTTTTCATTTCAAAGATAGAGGCGTGCAGTTCACACCATCAAACATCTGTCATCCTCTCACAAGCTACCTTCTGAGGCTGAACATGCGTTCAAATTCTGAAGGGTCCAAGGCTTTGATTGGATGCATTGAGACACTTGTCATTGGCAAATGTTCAATATCTCACTAAATCCCCTAATTTCAGGTTTCATTAGTTCAGTATAATCATTAATTATTTTCTCTTTCTTACTGATTACGTTTTCAAAAGTGTTTATAAAACTCAATTTACTATTTCATTCATTCACGTTTTACCACCTTCAATATTCTCTCTTGCTCTAGTTTTTCAAAAAACCATTTCTATCAGTTTTCTTCAAAGAATCCGTGTGAACAATGGCATCCTCATCAAGCCTCAAGAATCTCAACAGTGCTCCTGGTTCTTCGTCAACATAACAGTACGAGGAGCCCATTAGAATATTGCTCACTTAGGTCGACAACCTTGAAGTTATATGTGAATTGATCATAGATTTTGAGAGCTTACAGGAAAATGGGTTTGATCTGTATGAAGATGTAACTGCACGGGGATGGAACAGATACTTTAATCGTCTGTTGGGTCCAACTTTTCCCATTCTTGTTAAAGAGTTTTGGATTCATGCTACTTCATCCAACCACCAGGTCACGTCATATGTTATGGGGAAGAAGATAGTGATTACAGAAGATTTGATTGAGAAACTCATTAGATACAATGGCGGCGGAGTCATATGCATTGATATGGCTAATAAGTGTTCTGACCTAAAATCCATTGCTAGGGTCATTTTCACTTCTAGACAGCCATACAGCAAGATCAGAGACTTGAAATATTATTACAGAATCTGGGCTAGGATCATTCCGGGATGTATCAATCACAGGAAGCCTACAAGCTCCCCTGATTACATCAACATTGATCAGCAGTTTCTGTTATACATCATTGCAAAGAAGACCAAAATAAATCTTCCACATTTTCTCTTCAACCATCTGAGAACAAGTGTGAAAGAGACAAGAGAAGAAGAAAGAACTAAGAGGGATTGGAATCCTCTGGGAAGATTGATTTCAGATATTCTGACAGAAAACAGGTTGATAGAACATCTGATAGAGGCTCAAGAGATCAACACTCTGAAAGCAACTGCTGGGAAACCACTGAATGCCAAAAATCTAAAGAAAATGAAGATTATTGAAAACATTAAGAAGGAACCAACAATTGCTTTTCATGAGGTCATCACTTCTAGGAGAATCCCTCTGAAGGATTTTCCACTATTCTCTGAGATAGATGCTTCTCCAAAGATTGTAGTCAGATATCTTGAAGCTTGCAAGGAAGATGGGACTATTCCAGAAATCAACATCCGTGACCTGCACAAGCCAGCTCCAGAGGTTGTGCTAAAGAAATTCAGAAAAAGGAAGGCAGCAAGAGAAGGATCCTCTCAGAGGATACCCAAAGCTTCGAAAAAGAAAGGTAACACATCTTTTGTTTTTGTTGTAGAATCAATAGTTGTTCCAACATCTGAAACCATTCCCCCTCAACCAACAGAAAATCCTTCACCACAAACATTTGATGATTTTGACATAGAGTTTGACTCATCTGTAACTCTTGGCAATTTCTTAAATGAACCTCACTCCCCCAATCCAAATCCAGAATAAAATCAACCAGAACTTGCAAGAGTTTTCTCTGATATTGAACTGTTTGATCAAGACTTTCACTCATCTATCCCAGAAAATCCAAATACTCAGTTTCAACAACCAGAAAATCCACAACCACACTCTCATCAACCAGAACATCAAAATCTCAACTCACCCCAACCAGAAAATGAAAACCCTCTCACTCCTTAATCTGAAAATCCAAATTCTGAAACACCTGAACCAGAAAATCAACACGCTACCGCAAACCAATCAGAAGACTCCCTTTCAGACTCTGATACCACTACCCCAATTCCTGGAATAACAGAACCTCTTACGGTTCGTTTACCTCTCTCCATTCATGATATTCCAGAAATACCTTCACCATATAAATCCACACCAGCAAACACTCCTCACTCACCAATCTTGATTTCTGATTCTTCTACTCCCTCACCAATTAACCGTCCAGCTGATCATCTCAGAACTGTCATTGATCTAGAAGCGCTGGACCATCTAGCTTCCACCTCAAATAAAATTGCCATTCCCAAATCCAAACCAACCTTAACCAAATCATATGTTGGTAAGAACTTGTTGATTTTTGAAACAGAAATACATGAATAAGTTACTTCTTTGAAGCAAGCAAGTCAAGAGAATTCTAATCCTGCTGCTTCTGATTCTCTGTGGGATAGATTCAAAAAATGGTTCAACTCTGAATCCCAGAAGCTGAAAGAATTGAGCTATGAGATGGCTCAGCAGAACTTCAGTGATCAGCTGAAAGCATTCAAAGATCAAGTTCTAAGTCACTGGGACAAGAAATAAATTCTTATGCTGGAAAATACTCCCTGGAAAGAGCACCAACCTTTAGAAGCCACTGAACCAAAAAAGGAAATTGCAACAGAAGAAGTTGTTCAATTAGAAGAGGCTGCAGAGTATTCTGAACGATATACAACCCCTGAAGATACACCAGTTTTGTCTCTAGTCATGTAAACTCTGGAAGAGTTGAGGAAGGAGAATGCTTTAATCCACGCCAGGTTGGATAAGCAAGAAGATACAAACAAAGAGATCAAAGATATATTGGACAAACAAGAAGATACAACAAAATAAATCAAAAACATTCTGGGAAAGCAGGAAGAATCAAGCACTCAGATTAAGAGCTTGCTGGAAGCGTTGTTCACACGACTTCCCCCTCCTTCTTAGATTTTCTTTAACTTACTTTCTGTATTCTTCATCTTATCCTCTTTGTTTCTAAAAAATTTCATTGCATTCTGTTTTCATACAAATCATTTTTTTACTCTGATTATATTGTTTTTTGATACCTGACAAAAAGGGGGAGAACCAGTATACCGGGACAAAGTCTCAAATATTTTGAATATCTTAACTTCTATCTTTTCTGAAAGCATGAACAGGAATACATTCTGATAAGGACAGAAGTAGATGCATCAAAAGCTCTGACGAGAAGGAACTTCAGGGAAGTAACTCATCTCTATCTGAGTAGTCAACACAGGGGGAGACTCTCTTAAGCTTTTTTGTTCTATATTTTTTATTGAAAATCCTAGTTTTTGTCATCATCAAAAAAGGGGAGATTGTTAGAATATAGTTTGATTCTACAACCCTTAATTAGAGTTTTGATGATAACAAACACAAAGAACAAATATGCACTCTAAATTTGTGATATTTTTTATACAGAAGTTCTGACTGAAACAACATCAGAAGTTAAGCCACAAAAGCTTTCAAGCTGAGCTAATCAGAATGTTCTGAAGAATGATGATCAGAATCTGAGCTAAAGTAAAAGATACTCTGATTCTGAACAGAAGTCTAATGCGCCAACAGATCCTCATATCTCTGAGTCATCAAAGTTCTGAAGTAAAGCAGCATGCAAAGTCTGAAGCGTTACTTTTCAATTAAGACAGTATCATATGCAACGACTTCATTCAGACAAGAATCTTCTCAGTATGGAAAGTACATTGAGTATCCATTATCACGTTTTATTTTGGACAGATTTCCACGCCTATATAAACAAGCTAAAAGGACAAATCGTTGACGATTTCACCAACTACTGCTAATACATCTAAAAATGCTGCAAATATTCATATTCTTTCATATACTCAAATTGTGTAATACATCACAGTAGTAATACAGTTTTTGTAACAAAAAACATATAGTACACAGTTAATTGTTCTTTGATTAAGATATTGTTCCTTGAGATAAATCGGATTGTGGTCTTACTCAAGAAGACTTTGACAGTTGTCAAAGTAGTTTTGTAATCTATTTGATTAATGGATTAAGTCCTCGTTGGAGAGAGGCGAAATCACCTTGCCGGATGGACTGGAGTAGTTTGAGATCAAGCGAACCAGGATAAAAATCTTGAGTCTAGTGCATTTGATTTTTAAGAAAAGTTATTCTACTCAAAAACCTTTTTTTATCCTTTTGTTCTAAAATCACGTGGCTTCTTGAGAATACAACAAAATTGTTTTTGGAATTTTTTTTTCTCCACGATTGGCCTCACAATTCTCCTCAATTATTTTTTCAAAATCTATCGTTTTCCAATCTTCCCCATTCATCGACGGTTATGATTTCTACATCCATATTCCTCATTCAAAACGGTTTTTAAAATATTTCAATCTCCATATTCCACAAACAAGTGGTTTCTACACGGTTAGAGACAACCTTCCATTTTCTACCATAATCTCATCCTTTCTCTCCTTCTCTCTCTCTATCGATCTATTTCTTATTTCTTCGTCATGTACATCATCCTTTTCCCTCTCTCTCTTCTGTCTTCTCTTCTTTATTTTATTTTTCTTCCTTCTCCTCGGTTTCGGTTGCAGCAAGAATAGAGATTTTGTTAAAGAGATTATATTTGTATTTTACAGTGAGTCATGCAACTTGGTTTTGATTGGGTGTGTACCATGTGTTGTTGGTGGTGGTGGAGTCATATCTATTCTCATGGCTAAAATGTCGACACGTGGACAAGTTACTTATATAGAAGCAAGAAATGTTGTTGATAAAACCGTCGGAGCCTTCAAAACAGTTAGACACTTGCATCAATGTGTAGTTATAACAGTTTAGTTCAATTCTGCTACATGCAATCGAACTATGATGTATCTGACATTTGTTTTGTAAAATTGACCATGTTGCGTCTTTTACCGGGGAGAAAAAAGCAATAGAAAAGTACAATAGTAAGTTAAAAGTTGCTTATACGAGTACGGTTCAACAAGGAACTGCGACAGGATTTGTAATGGGGTTACTTTCATTGATTGTGTTTAGCACATATAGACTTGCAATGTGGTATGGTTCCATGTTAGTCCTTGAGAAGGGATATATTGGTGGACCTGTTATGAGTGTAATCATAGCTTTTATGACTGGTGAAATGTAAGTGTGAAATTTGTATTCGAAAATGATAAACTTTTAGACATGATAATTTTATAGACCTTCAATGAGCATAAGATTTCATTCATTTATAGGTCGTTGGGTCAGACATCTCCATGCATAGATGCATTTACTGTAGGATAAGTAGTCGCGTAATAAAGGGAGATATTGAACTCAAAGATGTTTACTTCAGATACCCTGCGAGGCCAGACGTGCAAATATTTGTTGGATTTTCACTGTTTGTTCCAAGTGGCACAACTAATGCTTTGGTGGGTCAAAGTGGAAGTGGAAAGTTTACTGTGATCAGTTTATTGGAAAGATTCTATGATCATGTTGCTAGAGAAGTACTTATAGATGGTGTGAATTTGAATAACTTGCAACTTAAATGGATAAGGAATCATATTGGGTTGGTTAGTCAAGAGCCTATATTGTTTACTACTACTATCAGAGAGAACATAGTGTATGGGAAACAAGGTGCAACTGATGAGGAGATAACAGCGGAAAAAACACTTGCTAATGCGAGAAAGTTCATCGACAAACTGCCTCAGGCATGTGTAATATTGAAAACTTTGATCATGTTTGATTGAAATTAATGATAATGATATGGAAATTGTGTTTGCAGGGCCTTGACACCATGGCGGGACAAAATTTGTGATAATTGATGATGGATGGCAATCTGTTAGCATGGATCCGAATGGTATTGAATGAAAAGCTGATTCTGCAGCAAAGTAAGTTTCGTAGTCGAAAAATAGATTATAGTTCTATACATTTTCTCGGTGTTGAATAAGAAATACTAATTTTTGAAAAATAGATTATAGTTCTAAACATTTTCTTAGTGTTTAATTCCTGTTTATGACTGTATTATAGTTCCTATAGCAAGAACCTTTACTGGTAAACCCTCTGGCATCACTATGCTACAGAGAATTGGAACTAGAATGCATTTTTCCTGTATTTTCTATGGTAATTGCAGATTTTGTCGAGATTTGATATTGTTTACAAATTACAAGCTAGGCTTGGAGAACAAAGGAGCTGGTGCCCTGCCAAGGGTGTACGAAGGAGCAGAAGTATGTGAAATGATTCACAAAGCAGTCTGGGAGAGGATTCAGAACATTATTGTTGAGGTTCACTGAGATGTAAAACTAATTTGCATTATTCAAGCTATGAAAGAAGGTCAGGAAACACACAAAGGGTTCAGCTACAGAGAGGGGTACATTTGTTCAAAAGGAGGCTGGTGGTGTCTGAACAATCAGCAGGTATCCCATGAATGTTGAAGGAAATTCATGAGACCTCCCAAGGAGGACACTTAAGTTATTATCGAACCCATCAATATGTAGAGGCTAACTTATTTTGGTTCGGATGAACAGTTCTTTCCAGCAGTTGATAAATGCTTGTGCCGTTTGTCAAAAACAAAACAAAAGTACTTGGCTGCAACTCCGGGGGTTTACTACAGCCTCTGGGTATTCCGAAGCAGGTTTGGGAAGAGACTTTGATGGATTTTATCATTAGATTGTAAAAATTCAAAAGCTATGAGGCTATTATGATGGTAATTAACAAAGTGAGTTTGTTCCTCTCAAACATCCTTATTCTGCTAAATTGTTGGCTGGAATTTTTACTAAGGAGGTAGTAGATTTGCAAGGAAACCTCGGTTCAATGTTCATTGACTGCGACCCTATCTTTGTGAATTTCTTTTGGAAAGAGTTCATCAAGCTGCAAGGCACCTAATTGAAAATTAGCATCGCCTACCATCCTCAAACAGATGGGCAGTGAGCAGAAAATAGTAATTGATGCAATGGAAATCAGAAAATATTTAGGAGCATATATGGCACTATAGTTAGAATTGTTGGCAGAATATTTTTTGCTGAGGTATAAATTACTGATATAGGTTCATGTTAGCTATGTCTCACTGAACAATGGGAATCATGTTGCTATTAAGAAGCTTTTAAATAATTTGTGCGTATTACTAATATTTAATTTTCAGTTCTGAAATTTGTTTAATACTTTATATAGTTTTGTGTTTTATTCGCATATGTGAAAAAAAGTAGTGCTTTTGTGTTTATATATTCTTATTGTCGTGCTTTGAGTTGATGTGGTGAAGACACGAAGGTGAAGACACATAAATTAAAGATATTGTAAGCTAGAATAGAAATTTAATGTTTTATGAACCTTGCTTCTTTTTAATTAGTTATTTAATTGCAGTTGTTTATATCCTTTGCAGATTTTGTTGTTCAGTTGCATGTCTGTATGAGATCCTCAGGTTCTTCTTCCTCACTTGATGAAAACTTGTGTTAATCATGGTGAGTAATTCTCTGGACTTTCCTACAATATGGTTAGTTCATAATGATTTAAAATATCTATTGACTAATAAATACTTATCAAATAATTGAATTTGTCATCGATTAATTATGTGATAATTTGAGTCTATCATAATAAAAAATAAGAATGAATGTTTTTTTTACTTGCGATTTTATTTTTTTCTGAATAAGAAAAAACTACTGGATTGAAATTGTAGGTGTGTACTTCAAGAAGGCACTATTTGTACCTGGTTTATCATTGTACCATTGAAAAACCAGTCATTTACAGATATTTCAAGACTTCCAATGCCTTGCTTGATTCAGTCATTAGTCATTTAGTTTAACTACATATTTTTTAAGAACTTCCAATCTGTAATGCAGGGAAGCTTTTGTTTTGTGATTTCTAATACAATTGAGAAACTACACTACCTTCTAGGTGTAGGTCCTAAGATTTCTCATTTGATATGTGTGCGTTGTTTTTGTAACTTAATCAGTATGTTTCATTAATTTTAAGGTTCATTTTGTTAATGGTATTAGCTTTTGTCCTAAATGATTTTTTATATTGGTTATGTATGTTATGATAATTGGATGGAACAACATCCAATGAATATTTTTAGACACTCACGAGTCTATATTGATTCTGTAGTGTGGAAAATAAGATTGAATTTATTATGAATCTTAAGCAGATAGGCATGTTTTGAGAAAATACTATTTAGTTTCAACCTTAGATTCACTTAACAATAATATTTTTATAATAGAAACGATATAAATATTATTAAAAAATTATTTTCTTTTTTGTCTAAAACCCGTTTTTAAATAATTAGCATTAATTGTCTATTCAATTTACAACATATTAAATATATAATTATTTAGTTTGCGAATTAAATATATCTTAACTAAATATTTGATTAAAAATTATGTGTTTGTACTTTATACTCAAGTGAAATAGTATAAATGATATAAATAAGAATGATATGTTTTTGTTACTATTTCAATTTTACATTATTTCTTTAATTAAAACTATTCTATTTTATTGATTTATACTCATTGCAAAGACTAATACAAAATAGATTTTTTATAAATTTAATTATTCTTTTATTTAAATTATTTTTTATTATAGATAATATCATAACATTTAATTATTTTTTCTTTTTAAATAAACTCGGCTTAACTCAACAAGAGTGTCAAATCGATATCCATGCGAACGCACAGGTATCATATTAGTTAATATTACATACCTCTTTGTCTATCGGCTGGAAATATTAGTCATTTGGAAAGTGATCATTTCCTCGATTTTTATATGTGCGCTTGTGGCATTATTATCCTCATTTTTGGATTTAGTTTGATTTGGTTTAAAATGGGCCTTAGGCCCATCTCTTGATCTTATAGCACCCCCCTTTCATAGAATTTATTTTTACTATATCATTTGAACAATTTGCATATTGTGTTTTAGTACTTTTTCGTAAATAAATAAAGACCGAATAACTAATCCCTTTTATTCAATAAAAAAACTATCAGTAGTTTTTATTATTTACTTCTTTATAAACTAATAAAATCAAAGTCCTTTTTCCTTAAAATCCGACTCATTTTTTAAAATAAAATGCAAATTAAATACTAGATCAATATCAAGCCGATTTTTAGATTTAATCGAAAGTGTTTTGAAATCTTTTTTATAAAAAAACTGAATGAAAAAGGACTAGTTAGACGTAATACTCATCATAGTTCTCAAATACTTGGATGTTAGTCATAATAGCTTACCGTTTGAGTATTCGTCTTCCTTTTAAAATCACAATAATTAACTGAATTTAGTTCGCTCCTTAGTGAATGAAAAAGGGTTAGTTAGGTGTAATATCCATCCTAATCTTCGACTATTTGGATGATAGCTGTAATAGCTTACTGTTCAAATGTTTGTCTTCTGTCAAGGAATCGTGACTTGATTCGTCTGATAAGTTTCGTATATAACTGGACGAAAAAGGATTAGTGGGGCATAATACTCATCCTAATCTCCGAATAGTTGGACGCTAGTCGTAATAGCTTACCATTCAAATACTCGTCTTCCGCCTAAAAACAATCCAACCAAATAAACTATTTTTTTCTGTCTTAGCGCGACCAAAAACTATTTTATAAACGAACATGTTTTATCCATTTTATATTTGATACAAAAAAACACGTAAGTATCCCACATGCGAGCATACAAGCAACGTTCACTAATGAAATTTCTCTGGTACATGCAACACAAGGTAATACTAATTTTTAACATCAGAACAAGGTCAAGACAAATGTTACAATATCTGGTTTGACATCCTGAACAGATTCATCAAGTTATTACAAAATATCGAAACTGAAACTGCATAATGATAAATAACACAGAGTTGTTAACCCAGTTCGGTGCAAACTCACCTACATCTGGGGGCTACCAAGCCATGAAGGAAGTCCATTATCAACAGTATTAGTTAAAAGTTAAACTCCCTCGTTTACAACTTCTCGCATAATCCTTATCCAATACAACTTCTACCTAGGTCCTCCCTAAATATGAGAAATCGCCATCTCACTTTCTAAATCACCTCAGTGATATCTAACAGTCCTAATCCCAATGACTGTATTGAGTCTAATTCAACAAGAAGATCATACTTCCATTGCAATACTTAGCCAATACTCTTGACCATGAACAATACTTAAATTTGATTAAAAGTTTCATCCAAGAACAATATTCACTCTTACTTCACAGCTTCGAGCAGAACATAATGTCAACCACAAGTATCATAAGATACAAGGGTAACTTACACCACACAATACACAAGAGACTCTCAAAACCTAAGACTCATGTTGCCCCGAATTTTACAATTATTGAAAACTTAAATTACATTAGGTTAGGATTCCCCTATAAATACAACTTTGTAGTCCATGAGCTTCGATATTTTGAGTCCAGAAATTTCTTGATCCATAAGTTGAGTGATGCACCAATTGTATGGAAAATCTTCTTAAATATTGGAACAACCAATACATAGTTTCCTAAATTGTCGCAAGGCCCAATTTAGTAACTTTTGCACAGTTGGAGATACAAATCTGTTCCAAAACAAATCTTCTTGACCTGCGAAAATATATGATATATATTCAAAGGAAACTATAATAGAAAAATCAAATATGCCAAGATTTAAAAAGAGCAGCGCATGCCTACTGCATAACAGAACCAGATGTTATGACATCTTATTCAACATCTGGTCAGAATCATGTTTTAGCAAAATGTTGCCAATCCACAAAACCATGGTACTAACAATCTCCCCCTTTGACAAATTTTGGATAAAACAACCAAAGACCAAATATCATGGGAAAAGGAATAAAATCACAGAACACCAACACAAGCTACATGTTAAACATGTAAACTTTGTACATGAGGAAGAAGATAAAAGACATTCCCCCTCAAACGCAGTCCCAACACACCTTCATAAACTCTCTAGGTGAGAGCCTACATGAACAGACTTAAAATCCTAATAACTCAGCACAGGACACAACCATGCTCATAACTTAGACCACAAGACACAACAGAAAGACTTAAACACAGAGAAGACATTGATTCATACAGGATGTTAGAACATCCTATGAAACATCCTTATAAACCAACTGCAAGAACATACTTAAGACTCACACGATGGACAATCACACTCCCCCTAAAGTGATCATACCATAAGCAACAACACTTAACTAGACTCAATAACACCTTTTCTCCCCCTTTTAGCCAAAAAATTACAAAAACAAGTTGAAAAGAACCTGGCAAAAAGAAAGAAACAAAAACTGACTTTAATAAAAAAAACACAAACTGTATCAAGGGAAAATAACTCCCTCAAATAGGACAGACCAAAAAAATCCCATAGAAACAAAGATTAAGTCTAAGTTTCTCCCCAAAACAAAATAAGACTCAAAACTTGATGCGGGACTAGGAGCATCAAACTGACTTAAGGGAAATCCACTCCTTGACTGACTCACAACATAAAGATATACCTTTTTTTCTACTTTGTTTGAAAAAATTTTTTGCTAACAGATAGCATATAACAACTATCTCACACCCTCAATCTTGATAACCTCTGAGTCTGAATCATGTAAGATCACATGGTTCTTTTTGAGTGACTTTACCTTGATTAGGTGTTTTCCCTGTACTGGATGTTCAAGTAGATGTTACAATATTTGTTACAATGTTGAACACTACTTTCTTTGAACCAGAACCCACTTTCTTCTTGATTTACAGCAGAAGATATTTCTTTTGCATCAAACAATGTTGAAATGCAGCTTGTGAGGATGGTGAGGTGGTGAGGTCTTTAAATACAAGGAAAGTTACTTAGGTTGTAACGAAACCTTGCTTTTAACAACACTTCCATTAATGAGAGCTTTTATGGAGGAAGATAAGATTACCCTTAGTAACAATGAACCACCCACCATATGAGAGATACATGTTATTCTTCAACTTTCTCTCTTTCCAAGCTTTGACTCCTTGAAAAAAGTTACAACATTTTGAAATTCTGGTAGTCAGATCTCAAATGTCCTAAGAGATATCGAGACACTGATCTATGAATAACAACGCAATGAACAATATAACACAATAAAACAGTGCAGAAAAGTAAAGAACACACAAAATTGTTAACCCGACTTGGTGTATAACAACACCTACTCTAGGGGCTACCAAGCCAGTGATTAAGTTAACTAGATAGTATCAATTTGTAGATCCACAACAAACTTTCACCTAGTTTATAATCTACTCACTTAATCAATATCCGTGCTAACTTCTACCTAAGACTCACATAGGTATGACACCCTTCTCAAATTCCTTTTAGTTACAAACAGTGACAACAACACAATTCAAAAGAATTACTTTGGAAGAAACCCTTCAAAGACATGCAACCATTCAATTCTTAAAAGCTTATGAACGATTTCCAGAACTTACAACTCAAAATAACAGTCA